TAAGAAATACAAAACAGCATTTTATCAAAATCAATTCTCAGATCTGAAAAAAACTGTCAAAACTAAAATGAAAGCAGCATATAGTCAATTTACAAACTTATCTGGAAATAATATTTTATCTGACAGCTCGACTTTCTGGTCTTTCATACACAGTAAAAAAGGTCATTCGCGTATACCGGGTATAATGAAACTTGTTGATAAGGTATTTGATAAGCCTGGGGATATTGTCAATGGATTCGCCAAGTATTTCAGAAGTGTATATTTGGTTTCGAACGAGAATATGCTTCGTGAAAATGCTCATGATTCTGATTTAGATGCATTAAACATCCCTGCCTTCTCTAAAATCGATATTATTACTGCTTCAAAAAAATTAAGGAATAAACTCACCGCAGGCGTTGACAATGTTCCTAGTCTTATGATAAAGGACTGTATCGACGTTCTCTCCATACCTCTAATAGGCATATTCAACTTGATTTTATCAACTTGTGCCTTCCCTCAGCAGTAGAAAACGACTCGAATTTGTCCGATATTAAAAAAAGGCGACTCTAGCGATATCACTAACTAGAGGGCGATTTCAATTTTATGTAACTTTTCTAAACTCTTCGAGATATGTGTGCAAAATGTTATGTACTCCCATATTCAAAAAGTTATTTCTCCTACTCAGCATGGTTTCGTACAACAAAGATCATGTATGACAAATCTTGCATGTTTAAATCAATATCTCTGTACGTACCTGGACAAGCAAAAACAAGTCGATGTTGTTCATTTAGACTCTCAAAAAGCCTTCGATCAAATAGACCATTACGTTCTTCTCAGTAAATTGACAAAATTGGGACTCTTTAACCAACTGCTCACTCTAAATGAATCATATCTAATCAAAAGAAAACATTTCGTCGAATATGAATCTTTCAAATCGGCCCAGTACGTAGTTACATCTGGGGTGCCACAAGGTACCTAAGTAGGTAGCCTACTATTTGCAGACGACCTGAAGCTATATTATAAAATCGACGACTGCCAACTTGTACAACATGAATTAGATGTAATCAAACTTTGGTGTAATGATAATCGTCTACAACTGAACGTATCCAAATGTAATATAATATCATTTACAACAAAAAAGCGAACTTTAATGTACGATTATTCAATCAACAAATCTACAATCAACCGCGTACATGAGATAAAAGATATTGGTATAATATACGACAGTAAATTAACATTTACAACACATATAAGGAATATGACTGCTGATGCAAATAGGATGCTTGGATTCATTTACAGAAATGGCAAGGACTTCAAAAGTATTGCTACATTAAAATTATTATATTTTGCGTATGCCAGATCTAAGTTGGAGTATGGCTCTTTGTTATGGAATCCGGTTTATGACTACCAAAAAACATCAATTGAGAGCGTACAAAGGAAGTTCCTAAAATACTTATGCCTAAAAGTTGAAGGTCAATACCCCACGAGAGACATCGATCATTTTGTTGGCACGATTTGATATGACATCTTTGGAAAATAGGAGAGTTATCCTTGGTATAAAATTCCTGCATAAATTACTCAACAACAATATTGACAGTACGGTTCTTTTACCCGAGATCAATTTCTCAGTACCAAGAAGTGAAGGTCGACACAATCTGAAATGCTATTGCGAAGCATCACGCACAAATATTATGCTACGATCACCATTGAATTTTATGTGCAGTAGCTTCAATAAAATCTGTGAACACTGCGATATTCATTTCGACTCTCTGAACGCCTTGGTATCTTGTATCCATAATCGCTTGTAATAATACAATAAATAACTTTTGTGTCAGTACTGTAAAATTGTAACTTGTAACATTGTTTTTGTGTTATATACTCAATTTTTCATTCCTCTTTGTAATTCTACTTATACGAAAATTTTATGTATACTTCGTTTTATCATTTACTTTTATACATTTCTATATTCCATTATTTTTAATATTTGTTCCATATATACTCTGTAATAATAGCATTTTCTGTAACTGAGTACTTCTGTTGGAAATAAATCGCCTCTATTTTTCTTGACATTCAATTTCCAACAGGGTTATTAGTTAAATAAATCTTAGTCTGAGTTTTTCTCCGTGTTTGATCAAATAGATTTGAATATCTACAAAAATAAAACATGTACACTTTGTTATACATCAGTTTATTCGATATTCGATAATAACTAACGGTATTATCACAATAAAACATCTATCAACAATAAATATGTTCCATTTATAATGATATGTATCAGTTCATAAGTGCGGTCTATAAATTTTTCTGAAAGTTTATGTATAGTTCAACAGTTCAAGGCGAACAACAAACAACACTAATTAAAATCAAAAATGTATCTATATCATGTAAAACATCTAAGCGTTGATTATCACAGAACAACTAGGAAATTAATACTTGATGTGAATTGATGTACAGGGTGTCCTAGATTCGGGTCGAGATTGTACGATATTTGGATTGTTTATTCATAAGAAAATATCATAACAATAACAATAAAACGAATTTCGTTTGTGCACTGAGAGAAATGTACTTGTACAGCTGAATTAAATGATGTAAATCAGAGTTTTCTTGAATATTTCTTTCTCTCCGTGGAAAATGTTCTACTTGTCAGTAACTTGTCCTTGAGTTTAAGAGGCTGAAATCTGCCTCAGTTTTGAAAATTGGAAAAAATCCAATGATAATTGGAGTTTTTCTTTGGTTCGCTTCATTTCTAAACGTCCTCGACATATGTGAAAGGGGTTTTGAAATGTAAAATATTTCAATGTTCAACCTCCTTTCCTTGATGTAATTTTGGAGCAGTCGTCAGTTCATTTCGATATAAATATTATTCGAAAAAAACAAATAGTAGCAGATACCTACAATACACATCAAGTGTTGAACGGGGTGTTATGAATTATTTCCATAACGGACCAAAAAAATATAAAATGAAGCTCCAAGTTTTTGTGAAGAAATGTCATTGATGAAATATATTCTGAAAGAGAGCTCTTATTCAGAGTAGTCCATAGATCCAATAACAAATATAATAGACAATAAGCAGTCCAGGTAAAAACCAAATGTCTACAAACATAACCATCAATTTAACAACCATCATCTCATCAACTTCCGACTCAGCAACCAACACCTCCAACTAACGTTATACCTACGTCAAGTTCATTATAAATGTGCGTGAGAGTAAATGTCGAATTAAAATCACCAATAGACAATTGACATTCTCAGATTACAGTTCGAAATTAGACGGTGAACATCGAGTCTAGTGGAACAAGACGTGAATGATGACCAATGATGCATGATGAATATTTTTGTGTTAGCTCCAGCAAGATGGTGCTAAGAACTGACTGGAACCTTGAAACAATCTAGTTCTATTGACTGGTCAATTTTTCTCAGTGTAGTTTGATATATGGAAGCATACCATCTATAAAAGTTGGAATGTTTATTGATTATCGTTCAACAGAGACTCTCAAACAAAGAACACGCTGTACATGCAATGCTTATAACTACTCTCAGCCTTAAACTAGTAGTATGGACAAGATATACTGTGCGGGCATCACCATTAAGACACAGTGACTACAAACTTGGTTACACTAAGAAAAAAGTTTCAGTGATCCTTGGAGTACATTTTCCAAGCACATTCCACATTGAATACTTCGAGGACACTTTTGTGCTGGATAAATACACAAGCTTTCAGTTGAATTGACATTTGGTCGAACGTCATGAAAATTCACCTTTGTAGATGATTATGACGTTGAAATTGGTGTGATTGAGACTCAGGTATAAATAAATCAATGCTGCCAGGATGAAATCAGCGAAGCCCTTCGTGCAAAATATGAAATATGGTTATTGATATAAACAAAATAGACGTGATTCAAATTTTATATTCTGGGCTTCCAAAATGTACCTTGACGAAAAATTACAAATGAATTTATTATTAACTATTCCACTAATAAAATGGGAATAAATTGATATGAATTCATATTTGTTCAGGACTACGTAAATTTAAAGCTTGTTTTCAGCAAAAAAATTATTTCATGAATATATGAGAATGAAATTACTTGGATGTCTTTTATACATACTTTGCAAGCTTCAATATGTTAAACAAATATTGTTAATGACTACATATATCATGATATTGCTAGTACACGAATCTTCTATTCTATATACAAAAACCATCAACCTAAAACCTACATAATGTGTGAGTACATTCATAAATATTAGGTGTAAATACTTAGTGAAGAAGCTATAATTTTGCATATATACATGAGCAGTTACCAAGTAGCGTATATTCATTTTTACACTTATATTCGATATTTGATATGTATGTTGATATGGATAATTCTATTCCATTGAATGGAATACACATCTGTAAAGAGTATATTCGTCAAAAAAACTCCATCTATATGAAGAAGATAATATTGAAAACTACTATGACTTTTATTAAATCTCTTTTTTTAGGGCTACCCCTAGTTGCCTTTCTGATGAATCGTTTTGGTCAATGAAACTGGCAAAAAATATTTGAATGTTGTCTTACAGATAAAGTGACAAGGAAATATTCCAAATGAAAATTAGGCGACAATTTGAACATTACTAATTAATTTTCTACTCAACAGGATGGTTCAGGAATCAACGGAGGATATCATTTATGTTTTTTGAAAACTATGACCTTCAAAAACTTTGTTTTTCAATTAATATCCATATTGTTTGGCAGTTTTGCATATCACTCTATCATGGTTGTGAATCATTTTCAAATGAACGGTTTATTCTTTACTGAACACAAAATGAAATGAAGAGGATTGAAATATGGATGAAAATAATATTAGCTGATCTATTGCATGATGAAACTTTACATTACAACGTTTTTCATTTTTTTATATACCGCTATTTCGATTTAAAAATCACTATGACAATTGAAATTCATTCAAAACAATGAATAGAATTGAAAGGGATATATAATATTGAAGTCAGAATTCAGCCAAAATATCGAGGTTGGGGTTGGAATCTAAAAAAATTGTCACTTCTAACTTGGAATTCTATTAAATTCAAACTTCAAACCAGGCATTTAGTGAATTTCATTCATATTTAATTTTTGCCCTTTCTACATTCATTCGCAGACCTTCAAACCTTCAATATACTTTCGAAACATTTCATTCTAGAATGCTTTTCTCTCGAAATTAATGGCACGCCGTTAAGAAGCAAGGGGCATTTGACAAACCAAAGCACACATGCTTATATTCACAATGCATCGCACGTTACCAAAATTTTCACGAATATTAACCTAAGTTGGCCTCGTCAGAAGCACTTGCATCGCATTCAAACTTTCTTCCAACGACTGCACGAATCTAGAAGTACTAGTAACTTCTGAAGACCAAAAAGCCGACAAACAAAATATTATACAATCAGATTTGGGGTTGTACGACGCCCCGTATCCATCATCTTCTACTGGGCCGTACCCCATGAAGCTGTCAGTATTAGTAGCGACCTGACTAGTCGTCAGAAGAAACTTATTAGCTATCCTATATGAGGAGTCTGTGAAAAGCTTCGGCAGTGGCGTGGAGGCGGTTGGAGAAGTTTCCCTTGCCGCTTCTCTTAAACCTAAGATATGTATGTCGATGCCTTGGCCTAGGATATTGTCGACCATCTCAGAAGTTTGGGCTGAGACCGCTTCATTCCAAAGGAGGATTTTTTTCTCGTCGCTGACTAGGTGGAATGTTACCTAGAAGGGATTTAAAATCTGCTTTGAAAAGAGAAATAAAAAATTGTGATATATTTATTCTAATAACAAATTAAATATAAGATACTGTACAAACATCAATTCAACTTAAGTTCATGGTATAGATTGTACCTAATGAAAATACTTTCACCATGCACACGAACGGTGACAAAACCGTCACCACCATCAAGGTATGTGTCTGTGATAATAATGAATATTTATTCATTGCTAAGAAATTATAATTCTTCATACAGAGAACGTTTATAAGAAATATTTATATATGTTTAACTCCGAAGTTTAATAACAAAAACGAATAAATATGATAATGCAAATCAATAAAGCAAATAATTCTTCAACGCCACTTTTAATTTTACTATACGCGAAAAACGTTTGACTTCTCTCGGTAATTTATTATGGAAAATCATTCCTTTGGAATATTTAAATTTGATATTCTTCGTTAACAGATTTTTGCACTGTTTCGTTGGATGATCTTGCNGTTGTCTTATAATAGTCAGTTAGTTTGGCGCATATTTGGCAACACAATTGACCATCACCCTTTAAATTTCCAAATGATTTTACAATAAGCTTCGCACGGACTGGTTATCATTTATATTAGGAAACGCTAGTTGAAATTCCAGAAAATCACATATGTTTTTGCTACCTCTTGAACATGTAATACAAAGTAAACAAATGATGATTTTCCAGCAATAGTTTTACAAACACAAGACGAGATAGATTATACGGAATCTTTCCATCCAAAGCGGTCAGGAGTATTGATTCTGCTATTTTCCTGCTCACGAAGAGTATTCAATAAGTATCTCAAGAATTCGGAACAATCCTCTTATTATCCTAACGAGTATCTAATGGACTTCAAAGACTCTAGAACATCGGTTGGTGGGAAACTGCAGCTGCATGAACAGGTTTTCTAGTTTGATGAATGAGTAGAAAACATTATCGTTCTCGTTTATCGTTAAAACCTTGTTCATGAAATTGTTCATCATGAAGAACACTTGTAAAATGCTATTCATGTGGCAAGGGTTTCCTAAATTATGTAATACAATTTTCTTTGCAAGATTTCCAGGACAACTGTTTACTGATTCGTAAGTAAGAACAATCGATGCAATCGATCCTTTCAAATGATGAAGGGTTTCGTGAAGGGATCAATTTGGCTTTTGCTCCGTAAAGCTACTCCACTGAAAGAAAACTAGAACAACGAGGACTGCAACTCATATTTGGGGAGCAAGAATGACCTATGTCCATTGACCGCACTGAAAAAAAGATGGTGGATCAATCACTTGCGAACTAACCTCGATAGGAGACTGAAGAATATACACATATCTCGGCTTGTTTCGAAGAGATTTCAGTTCCGAACTGAAATGAGGGTCATGCATGATCTCATCAAAATTATGTGAAGGAGAAATAATGTTATCCAGATTTGGTACTAAAGAGCTTATAAGGCCAGCTTCGTATGGCGAAACATCGGATGTCTACCAGTGTGGATATACCAATGTTCCATATAATTGAAATTTCACCTCTTTCATTGACTGTATTGTGTAGCAATCTTGTGGATGATATCCATAAAGAATATTTGGAATACGAACTAAATAGAGAAGAAAATGTTTTTGTATAATTCAATGTATTTGTTTCGAAAGTTTTTTTTTGTGTTATTCAATGTTTATATGAAAGTAGCTGTTTTGAGAAATGTTTTTCTTCCAGTTTGTGTCTGAAAGGTACTTCTTTGCATGATCTACGTGTATGATGATCTATAGTTACATTTTTAAAATTGACTGCTTCCTTTCTTTCTTCAGAAGATTCCCACATTTTTTGTATCAATATAAAAAAGTAGAAAGCAAAAACTTTCGTTTCCCAAAAAATGTAATTCTCTATAGTTGATTGGCAGAAAAACCAGATACAATAGCAATCAATATGCTTTTGAACAGGACATAATCTCAAGTAGAGATATTTCAAGAAATAACTATCCATGTTGGCACATGAGCTATACGACATTTTGTTAAAATTTTCGTTAGAGTACCTGACCTTCATTTCAGTAGATATGATATGACAATGATGTTATTTGATCATTTCTCTGTCACTTATATGAAACAATATGAGACTACATACCCGTAAATATTTGAAACGATTCAAGTATAGATCAACAGGTGACCTCTTTTGCATCCATTACTGGAATATATGAAAGATAAACTGTTAATAATTTACTGCAGAAAAATGTGTACTCTCAATCAATAAATAGAAATAATGTAGGTATACGTTTTTGAATAGTAAAGATTTTCAGTTGGTTCCGAGATACAAAAAAAAAATGCATTTTTCAACTTCATTTTGTAAACATCTTGATGATTCCAAATTTATGATTGAATTTGTGTTAGATGTTTGAAAAAATATATCATCTGATGAGCAGCCACACTCCGTCGCGTATTTCAGATATGTATCGTTCTTGGAGGAACCAATTGTTCCCAGTGACTCAAACACTTCCCGAGAAAGTATCTATGGAAGAAAGACAAATCTCTAACCTTTCTTCGATGTTTCAGGTTGCAAGTGTATGTTTGGGAGAAAGACTGATCTGAGCTTTATAAAGCATTTAAAGTTGCTGAGGTATGTACAGTTTTCTGTTCGGAATAATGTTCCAAGCTTTTGAGAAGCAGCCTTTGCAATTCCAGCGATAAGATTGTGCCAAGACATATGAGTGTCCATTTCAACCCCCAACTCATCGAAGTAGAAAGCGAAATTGTTTGACCTGCCATTATTAAATCCGCTTCGAAGACATTTATCTTTTTGGGAAAAACCAATACCTGGATTTTTGTGGCATTGCATTGAACCTGGTTACTTTCACCCCAATTTGAAATCACTTCTAGATCCTCATTAAGATATGTAACATCCTGCTGCCGATGAAGATGTGCATCCACAGCCGATATCCTGGAATCCAAATGTAATGACTCTACAAGTGTGTCGTCTTGCTTTTTTTGCTTTTTCTTGCTTTTTCCCAATAAGTTGTTGATATACACTGAAAAGGGGAACACCAGCGTTGATAGTGAAAGTTTTCGAAAAATATCCATTGACGGCCACTTGCAGAAAACGTTTTTTCAGGAAACTGAAGAGCCATACACAAAAATGATCCGACAAGCCATAACATCGGAGTTCTTTCAGCAAACTATCATGCCACACACGGTTAGTGGCCTTGGAAATATCAAGTGCAACAGTTCCTGACTCCCCATGTTTCAAGATTGCGTTATTCCAAATATGAGTGACGTACGATAGAAGGTCGCTTGTTGCTTAATGGCTTTCATCATGCTTTTTGATATTACTGACAGCAATGCGACAGGTATAGTTATTTGGAAGAGTTTTCTTGCCCTTTTAGGAATGGCCTGAATGCGAGCAATCTTCCAAGAAGAAGAAGAAGTCTGCAAAATACTGGTGCGAGTTCATTTGCGCACTTTTCAAGTACGATGACCAGACGCTTTGTTGATATTGAGCTGTTTCAAAATTCGCCTGACTAGACGCTCGAAAATTCCCATTGTGGAACTTATTCCGCGTCTTGACTTCAATCAGTGAGGAGTGTATAAAGGTTCAAATAATATTTCTTTTCTTGGAAACGTCCTTTGAATTATTTAGGTAGATATCGTGGTTTATTGAACGTAGGTTTACTTGCTGATGTGACCTGTTGAAATGGACCATGCACACACAGAATTTGAGTAAAGTTTTTGAAGATCAAGATGTTGTTTTTTTCTCTTCAACTATTTCAGTCAGCATTCCCTCAAGTCAAAATAGACTATATTTTATGTGTATCCGTCTAGACACTTCAACATCTAGAAGAAATGAATCCTGAGAGCAGATGGATTCTTGCGTATCAATAGATCAAAAATACCATCATATTCTGGTGCAAGTGTATAAGGCACAAACATGATGAGAATATCAATATACCTAGAGTTAGTTCTTACCGGTTGTGAATCGAGCAAAAATCTACGCCATTAATTCACATGTTAACATCACTCACTAAAAACTAATCAACTTTGTTAAGAAGCTCATTTGGTTTATTCAACTGAAAATATGTGTTTGCAGTGACATAGTTTCTATGAAATAAAAATCTAACTATTGAAAACTCACCTTCTTACTTGCAAGATCATCTTCCTTGGGCTGCAACATCGCAGTTACCCATTCCAAAGCTTCTGGAGTGGCAGATCGAATACAGTCCACTCTGCCTAGGCGAAACCTCCTAGTGGAAGCGCTCTCATAGGTTGCAGTCAGTTTTCCATAAAGCCTATAATAGGCCAACTGCAAAGCCAGCTGAATATACACATCAGGACTGACCTTGCACGACTTGATGAACTCTTTACCATACCCCATAAATCTGTACACCTGGAAGTCTAGATCTTTGATGAGGTTGTCTAAAACGTTTCCGGCTTCCTCTATCCTCTTTAGATCGGTGGCTTCCAAAATCCACTCCATGCGTTCTGGAGGAGGTATGTGACTGTTGGAAGTCGCTGGTACATCGGAGTGAGCTGGAAGGGAGTCTGCGTGGTTCCAGAGCTTTTCGACGAGTTGGATGACGGCCACTCCTTCTGCATTAGAGTGTTCATAGCACAGGCCACAAGCTCCATCTCCAGAGATGATGAGCTGGATGGTTTTGTCGAACCATCGGTTGGCTGAGTTGTGGATTGTTCCGCCTCCATGAAGCATTTGATGTGCTAAGTTCGTCTCGTCTCTGGGACCGGCTGTGTGTCCTTTTCCCCCTTGCAATTGAAATTTGGAGATTATTCACTTGTTCAATAAAAGAAACTCAGAACATATTTCGATTTGTATACAGGATGGCTCAATGAAAATTGGACGATGCCGATTTCTCATAATCTGCGTTTACAAAAAAAATCGTTTTAACCTATCCACATTTTGGAAATGGCCATGAGATCTTTCCTTATGCAGTAGTTATTTTCAATGAAAGACAAAGGACGAATCCCGTTCGGTGGTCGATGTCTAAGCTTGGCTTTTCAACGGACTGCCTTGGGTAGCCGCGTTTGTCTTCGAAATTGGTGGATTGAGTTTTCTGTCGATTTCATAGATGTCGTAAGGAGAGATGTCATCGCCGTTTACCACTCAGGTTCATCCTTTATAGACTGTTGGTTTCAATAATGCATTTGAAATCTTTTGGAGGTGAAAATAGCGTTGAATCACGAATGTTGTGGTGTCAACTAGTTGCTTGCAGAAAATGGCAGATAATGGATTCGGTCAGAGGTCGATTAGATCGTCACTATTTTTTTTTTCAGTAATTTTCTTTCCAATTGGAACATAAATTGTGAATGGCTTTCAAAGGATAATATTTTTTTTAAGCAATGAACATCGTACATATGGGTTGAGTGATAATCTTCAAGGAAGCATATATATAGTATTTCAATATCATATTCTGACACAAATATTCGTCCTCACAGATTTGTTTAAAAAAATAGTATCTTTCTATCCAGACAGGGACAATAAAAAAAAATTCAGATCGCGACCATCAATGAATGAAGGAAGCAAAGGAGCATATTGTGATGTTTCATGCCGCAGTAGTAGACGAAATGTTTGATATCATTCGACCACGCCTACCACCCCGGATTTTGTTCTCTCTTATTGTTTCATGTTTGACACCCCATGACACCCTAATTCACTGAACTGAGTTACTATTTGTTATCATAAAGTTATTAGGTTTTCCTAAACAGTAGTAAGTTGCTTTGTTTCAAGAACCTTCTGATCAACATCAACGGTTCTGAAGTTATTCGTTGTGATGTGTCTGCATTGGGTTCAAAATCTGGGACCCATACTTGCTAGTTCAATCAATCTTCTGTTCATATTTGGAAAGGTGATGCCAAATTCATCATTAAAGAATGAATTCGAAATTGAGGTATCGTACAAGTCGAGTAAATAGTTGAAAAGATTTACAAGTAACATAGATCTATTACTTCTCTGACTCTTTGGAAACATTGATAGTGTACAAGCATGTTAGCAAATGATGTTACAGAAAAAAGAAGACTTTAAGGATTCAATCAATTTATTTCTCACCTCTTTGTAATCTGCAGTTGAAATTGGTAGGTAAGCCTTCGTCCAAGCAAACTACAAGCAACGATTTTGTAATTAGGTCCAGATTTCTCGCATTTTGTTCCTCTTTCATGAGATCTTCACGAGCTTCCGCCCAAAGTGCCCTTTTCCATCCTGTTAGAAGACCGACTGGCGGAGGGCTCGAGAGACATGGTGCATCGTCCAGGATGTAAAGCATTTGGGAGCATATTTCGTCTTCTGTTAATCGACCTCTGTCGCCTGGAAAATGTATATTTTGAAATTGAAATATTGTAGAATTCTAGAATATTCAAGATGATATTTTTTTGTAATACTTCCTTCTACTGTTTTTTGTATAGCTGAACATTTTCTTTGAAGAAGATTCAAATTATGACGAATGAAAGAAAACAGTGTAATGAATGAAAAAGGTATAATGAATTCATATGAGTAGATCTGGCAGGCTATTTTTTTCGTCTCGATCGATCACTTACTGACTTGTGAAACGATTAAAGTGAAGGTGCGGAGGTTCTATTTTGCTGAAGACAATATGATCAGACGGATCTTTTTTCATATCTTAATAATGCAGTTCATTGTATGATTTTCACTATATAGTGAAAATCATAAAATAAACTGTATATGGATTTTTATCAAGAATCAGCCAGGTCTATTATTTTTTATATTTCATTCGGTATTGGACTGACTATATATTTGTATCAGAGGTGTAGGAGTTCTGAAAAAACAGGAGAAACTATGAAAGGCAAGATATATTTGTAAGAAAAACTTATGTATTTACTTGTGGATCTGAAGTATATTTTGTAGCCTCTAGTAGATCATAGATCAGTACAATGATCAAGCAATTTTTCATATCCAATCATTGTCACCCGACATCTGCCACCTGTCCACTTTCACTGTAGTTTTTTTCTATGAATTATAAAGAAGGAGAGACAAAGTACGTAAATATCTATTGACATAAAAATGTTGTATCAAATTATCCGAATTATAAGGAAAAATTTCGTTTTGACTAAAACTCATTGAAAAATGGAAAGTTAACACATTAGGGAAACCTTTTGATTGCTTTCTTACTTATGGAGAAGTTTCGTATATCATCGACCCTGGGTAAATTCCATATGGATAAATGGCAAATTCTTCGTCTTAAACAATATAAAGGGTCAAGGTTAATTTTATAAAAGATACAAAATCAAGACCATACTACATATAGTACATTAGGTAGATGTACTACTACGAAAAAAAATATTATTTTCTATGAAATATTACGTTGCATTTCACGTGTACTCCAATGTCACATTTCAAACATCTTGTTATTGTTTTCTCATGACAGTATCCACATCGGGTCTGTTTTGCCTGCGGAATCACAAGATGGTTTAACCGGTCGTAACGCACATCAATACCTTGTGTTCTACTCGAATGTCCTTTTTGGTATGTAGTTCGCTTTTTATTTTGAATCAGTAATATTGTGGCAATTCGTCTTCTGAAACTTAGCCGATCTAGGACTCCTCCATTTTTTTATGTAATTGCCAAGGGTTCTGAACGCACATGTCAATGCTGTGGGTGAGCAAAGTAATATACCATTTTTTTCCTCTCAGAGATGTGCGATATAAGCTGATATTCTGGTTAGAGCGATAGACTCCTCCCATATTAGAGTTATACATGTTTATGACATGTGACTGTGCTCCACCTGAAAATAAACTATACATTATACATAACTGCGTGTGAAAGCGTTTGACCACATGCAGAGGTTCGACTCCTGAAAAATCCGAGCAAAGAGTTACTATGCTGTTGTCATTCCACTTTACTGCGATTATATTCTGATTTGAAATTTTCTTATAGTCATAGCTTCCTCGCTTTTTTTTCTTCAGAACTTTAGAGTCTATCCTACTCCTGCCAATCGGTTCTCTCTTGCTGTACCAGTTGCGAAAAATGTTTCTTTCATCAGCTCTTCAATTAGAGGAATGGACGTAAAGGAGTTATCGAAAAAGATATGAAATTTTCTGTTCGTCCATTTCTTGCGCAGGGCTTGTGCGTATTCCAATACCACTCCTGCGCTAACTCCGAACTCTGCATATCGTTCACTTATATTTATTGCAGCACCTTGGTATGGTTCAAACCAATTCAAGTAACCAAGTCTTGAACTTCCAACCCATAATTTGAACCCCCAACCTTTTTGGCTTTCCGTGAATGAATTGTTTGAAGCTATGGCGTCCATAATAAGGTACCATGGCTTAATCAATTGAGTGCATTTCGTCGACAATCGAGTTTTCCATAAACTTTTTATTCAGAAGAATGAATAGGGGCCTCACTTTTGCAAATTTGTCATGGTGGTCTAATTGTTGATTATCTCCAGATATTAATTAAAAAATCAGTGCTGAAGTTGGGTGTCAAGCATCAGTTAAACCACATATTACTTATGGTATTTTGCATGGGATGGAACCACAAACATAAGGATTGCCAAGAATATGAATACTGAAAATAATATGAAGTGAAGTCTCCAAATATTTATCAGTGTTTACTGAGAACAACAGTGGTGTTATTCTATTAAGTAGCATTGTTAACTGAAACCATTCCCCAGCAAAGTTAACTTGTATCAAGAGTATGAAATATTCAACCAAACATTTCTTTTACTAATTTTGACACATTCACATGTCACCAATTTCTGTTAAAAGGATCATCCTGGATTGTTTCATATTATCAGATGCTCCATGATGAGCGAATTTCAACAAAGTATAAAACATACGGTCTGAAGCTTATGGTTCAGTTGCTACAAATTATTTGTGTTGAAAACGAGCCACCCTGAATAACTTTCGGTACAATGATTTTCAGGGAAAATAAAAAACCACCTCAACAATAGTATACAGGGGAACACATTCACATTTTATCTAACTTTCCCTATAGAGCATGTCGCCATTTTTTTTAATGAATCAATTGTTTTGCATCATCAGATGGTCCATGACGAACAGATTTCAACAAAGTAGAATACATTATGGTCTGAAGCTCATAGTTTGGAAGCTAAAAATCATTTGAGTTGAAAACGAGCCACCCTGAATGAAATTCTATACAATCTGTTACCTAGGATTCATATGGGCTTTTGTGAAGCATACTTCAAAAAAGTCTTATTTTGCCTAGTTAGGTTTGAATTTTATAATCTCCCCATTGTGTATTTGTATCATTCTACAATAACGATTATCTAACAGGTGAAGTTACAATTGCTGTTTCTGTTTTTGTGAATTCTTGAGAAGAAATGGTTTATACGCTTCGAGAACGGATTGAAATAGTGAGTTTGTACTAGAAATAGTGCTAGAGCTGCTGCCCGTATGATAATCATCCAGGAAGAAATGTACGATAAAAATACGATTCGGAATTATCGAACAAATTTATGGAAACTGTAAAAAGCATAACCGATCAGGAGTTGTCAATAATGAAGCTATTTGTAATGCAGTTTAAGGGCACGTTGAACTAATGGAAAATTCGCAATCTGTTACCAAGTTATCTCGAGAATCAGGAATCAGTCTTACAAATGTTTTCAGGATCCTTCATAAGTACAAATTTCATCCATATAAGATAAGGCTAGTCCATGATTTGAACGAAGATGATTTCGATAGACCTCAAAAACTGAATGTTTGGGCAGCAATTTTAGGTGACCACATCATAAGACCTTTCTTTATCGATGATAATTTGATTAGTGATGAATATTCAGATATGTTGGAGATTTTAATAATATCGTGGATCAATAGGGCAATTGAGGCAGATTTGAATTTATTCGAAAACGGAATAGTTTTTCAGCAGGATGGTGCACCTCCTCATTATGCAGCTCCAATACCACAATTTTGGGATGATCATTTTCCTGGTCGCTGGATTGGCAGAAGAGGTCCTACAGAATAGCTACCAAGGTCTCCGGATATCAATTCTGTAGATTTCTCTCTATGGGGCCATTTGAAGTCTAAAATTTATGAGATAGAATCAACAACATTAGAAGATTTGAGAAAGAATATCATGAGGTATTGCAGAGAAACACCTCCCGAGTTTCTCAACCATATGAGGCCGGCAATAGAATGTTGGTGAGAACGTTTTTGAACATTTACTATGGAAAAATATTTTCTTTTCATTGTCCAGTCATTAGATTTCGATTCAAGAATTAATAAAACATTTCTTTTTCTGATTTATTGCTTCCACATTTGTATCTAAAACGAATATTTCAAAATGTGGCCTTCTGTATAATTGTTGACCAGTTTTTTTAATTTTTCCTGCAAATTATTGTTTCAAAAGTCATTCAGGGTGGCTCGTTTTCAAATCAAATAATTTGTAGCTCTCGAAACATAGGCTTCAAACCATATGGTTTATACTTTGTTGTAATTTGCCCATCATGGAGCATCTGATAATGCGAAACAATATAGGGTGTTCCATTAAAAAAAAATTTGACATGCTCTGGGGATGCAATAGGGGAAGTAACATATAATGTGAATAGGTCAAAATGTGTCCCCCTGTTTATGAAAGTTGACGTGTTTTTTCATTGTTCCTGAAAATCATTGTACCAGAATTTTTTCAGGGTGGCTCGTTTTGAATGGAAAGCACTGTATATTCATGATATAATTCATATAGGAATGGTCCCAATCTAAGAGATATCTAAGAATGATATTAGATATCACTGAAAACATATAAAAAAATATATTCAATATTGTTATATTCAACTCCGGCTGAATACCTTACATGTTTGTTTTGAGGTGGTTTTTTTGGTTGTCGCTTATATGTGACTTCATTGTAATTTCAGTTTTTTGCTTAGTAAAATTGTTCTTTCAGCTAACCTCTATAATTTTTTTACAGATTCTCTCAGGAATTTCAAATCAGTTTATATCATATTTTACAATAGAAGTCCGAACTGATGAAATAACCCTACATGTATTAAAAAAAAAGTAACAATCCTAACCCGCCTGCACAGGAACACAGTACAGCTGACTCCTGCATATCACCACAACATGTTCAGACACCTGCCCTCCACCTCTCATATCAGCGCCGACGTACTGCGAATCCCTTTTCTTTCCAGGCAGCCTAGACGCTTCCAGAATCCTGTAGTACTGTGCCATACACAGCAGTTGTCCAGGCTCTCTAGATGTCGCTCGTTCCTGAGGAAGAGCTTTGCGATTGAGGATGTCTTTGTGGTCGAGAGCGGCATCTATCAGCCTTGCCGCGAACCGAGCCACGTCGAGGATTGTGGTGAACTTTCTGGGTGCAAATACCATGCCGGGGTTGGAGTTGATGGGAATGGGTTCTCGGAAATTGAAATACATGTCATTGAGCCAGTATTCGTAAGCCTGGAAGAGAGAAAATGTATTGCAATTGGGAATTCTCAAATTGATATTTTACTTGTTAAAATGAAGAGCATATATGTTGGATAATATAATATAGGATAGAGAAAATAACTTTCGTCTAATTTCTACTACGATTTCTATTTTTTATTTCAAGTAAACTGGGACATTTTGACAAATAACTCCTTAAATATACCTGCCTAGGTAGCTGAAATAACAAAATATTACCTCAAAGATCAATATCTTATCTGAAAAACCGAAACAATAATTAATCAACTCCTATAACATATCAAAATTACTAACTACTTGTGGATTGCTCCAGATACAACTGGATCCTAACTTCTTGTCAAAATTCACAAATTCAAAAGAGCTGCATGGTTTTAGTTGGTCATTGAGGGTTTTTAAATTGGGGTTTTTATGCAATTTATTTATTTTCAATGCTTCCACCAAATTCATCTCCTTTCTTTCATTACACGTATGGAGAATTTTCATGTTTCCCTTGTGCATTGTGTGGTTTAAATATTACTGGAGTTTTTTCCAATACCTAACCGTTAGTTTAACACCTCGACACGTGTTTCGATCACCAAGTGATCATCGTCAAGAGGTAGATGATTACCTGATGATCGGAACACGTGTCGAGGTGTTAAAATAATGGTTTGGTGTTGGAAGGAATAAAACTCCAGTAATATTCATTACTACACCAAAGGTTCCAAACAGTGCATCGAAAGTACATTGTGTGGTTTGTTGCTCACGGCACCTTGTGTTGAAATTTCTGCCTGTCTAGCTTGTATGAGCTGCTGAACAGTCACTACATTCTAGTATATATATGCGCGATTTTTTCCACTTATCCCTTTTGAGTTTTGCGTTGGATAACGTGTTTCCTGAATTATTCTTGATAGTCAATGATATAATTATTTTTAATTTTGGAAAATTATTTTTTATGTTTTCGGAGAGCTTTTCCGAATAGTTCATGCTAGCATATTTCTCAGCTTTTTGAGTTCTTCTAGAAAACACGAGTATCTAGAATAATGCCTTTTCACAGAAACGCATTTCGTTCTAGTTTAGATATGTGGATGATATTGTCCTGGATTTTGACGGCACAAAGAGACACATTGATCATGTCCTGAGTTTCCTCAACACTCTGGACGATAAGCTAAATTTCACGGTCGAAACTGAACAAATCAACAGCATTAACTTTCTCGATCTCACTATCATGAAAATTAAAAATATATTTCAGTTCAACGTATATAGAAAAAAAACTTTTACGGACTGTATAATCCCCTTGGATTCTTTCAGTCCATTATCAAATGAATTATATTATTATGTATAATTATATGTAAAATGATACATAGAGCATTCATGATTTCGTCATCAGAGATGGCTTTTCAAGAGAAAATGAAGATCATGAAGCATAGAACGTGTCTCCAGGCGCCTGTAAGCCTACTACATCCGTCAAAATAACGCAGCCTCACGAGTGATTTTCTACCATCTTAGGCCGGAGACATACCTCGCGATTTCCGAGTGGTTTCTTCCAGCGCGGTTTCCGAGTAGAAATTGGTGAGAAAAATCGATACAGTGAGTACCTGACAGTGTTAGCGATTTCCTGTCAGTCCTTATTTCTGACTGGAAATATCCTCTTGTCATACTCTAGTATCGTTCGCGCCTTCAAAGCCACCACTGTGAAATCTACTGCTGCTGCGATATTTCACCATCAAAAGGCGCTCTTGCTGGAAGAGGCCACCCACAAGGTACGACATGCAGCCGTACCACCGAAAGATCAACCAGGAAGAAAGGTTTTCTGCTTTATATAAAAAAATCAGAGAATATGCAGACTTCTTTTTACCCGTTACCGAATATTCATAAAGTCGTTCGATGAACTTGTGGCAATTTTCGATCTTTACTACAGAAAGATTGCACCAGAAGGATATCTATCAGCTTTGAAGAGAGGCTTAATGTTACATTGGGGTTAGTGCAAGTTTATGAAATATTGTATTGATCACATATTTCCTCTATCAAGAGACATGACCAACACATATCTTATGGGAAACTTGAAAATGCATGAAATCAAAATATACATTTGTAGTACGTACTCGCTTTTGTTCCACAAACAAGGGTGATCACATATTTCCTCTATCAAGAGACATGACCAACACATATCTTATGGGAAACTTGAAAATACATGAAATCAAAATATACATTTGTAGTACGTACTCGCTTTTGTCCCACAAACAAGGGTGATTTACTACGCTACGAATTAAAGTTTTCACTTCCATGTTCGAATCGCAACTGAAATACCGAGCGGAAATAGCCAACACTGTTGGGTTCCATTCGTTTACCTTAGTTTTCCCTCTACTTGGTCGCCCTTGCCCTCCGATTGTCGCTCGGAATCCGACGACCGGTCGGCTGTATGAAATTGCCGCTGTTAAAAATCGCAAACACTGTGATGTTCCATTTGAATGCTGGGGTTAGTATAAAAATAAAAAACTCCTCGGAAACCGCGCTGGAAAAAACCGCTCGGATATCGTGAAGTATGTCACCGGCCTTAGACAAAATAATGATATGGCCTTGAATTCTGTGTGATTTTGAATTCGTTGTAGGAAATAAGAAGTGCTGAATTTATTTTAACTATTCATTCCCTACCCTTACGCTGATACGAGCTAATGAAGCTTATGTAGTTCTTCTAGACCATGAGAGTAATACGATATTCGTTGTGGGGTGTTCAGTTTTGGATGGGACAAATATTGTCCGGATAAAAAACGAATAAAATGTCGATATTTTATTTTAAAACGCGACTGTTGGTATTACTCTGGTATTTTAAAATCATACCGGCTTGACGCACTATGGCGAAAATCTTAGCAGGTTAAATTCTCAAGTGAGATGATTTCCTTAGAAGTACACGATAGTTGTCATCACGATTTCATTGATGTTTGGATGATAAAATTGAACTGTTTTTTCTGAAAGACAATACTTTTCAACTCATTTGCGAGTGGAAGTGTCAATTTTTCAACCAATAAAACCATGGTTTTCCGATTATTTTCCGCAGAAAACTCAAAAAGTGAGTATTTTATCATAAAATAATTTTGAGTAAAAATGTAGGTTGGCTCTCATCCGTCAAACGCCAAAATTGAATGTTTCAACGTAGATTCATAAAAAAAATTATGAATTTCTCATTGAATCTGTTTGCAAAAATTTTCACTTCTGTTCTGTTCAGCTTGATTTTTTTCACTGTGTACACTGTGAACTTCAAACCGGTCAAATTTCTGGAGCATATTTCTATTCAATATTACTGGAGTTTTTTCCTAACCTCGACACGTGTTTCGATCACCAAGTGATCATCTTCAAAGAGGAAGATTAAAACTCCTCTTTGAAGATGATTTTGGTGATCGAAACACGTGTCAAGGTGTTAAAAATAACGATTTGGTGTTGGGAAGAAACGCCAGTAATATACATTACTACACCAAAGGTTCCAAACAGTGCACCATAAGCACATTTCTATTACCATTATTATTTTTTTGTTGTCGAGAACCAACATTGTTTTCGTCATGATTTGGTACAGGGTCATCCTTGGAGTAGAGGATGAAATTATATGTGGAAATGGTCATTGACTGGACTGATAATGTACAAAATACAACATGGAAATGACTACCTATCACTCATGAATTCTCATTGATTCGACTATTGAAAGAGGAATTTTCTCATTAATTATAATTTCACTCGGATTATTAGTATATTTCTATGAGTGCGCGGCCAGTTGCAACTTCTGATTGTTATTTCATGGGCGTTCATTGATTCCATATTATTCCTTGAATTGAATTATCTATGTGTTTATTGCCGCGACATCTATCTCAGAGAAGTGAAACCTTTATATTCCCCATACACGTACGTCTTTGATACTTCTCTATCGGCTTGAAGATGTCACTGACACATCGTTGTTAGCTTCTCTTGCATTTGCATCAACCCTCATTTTTTTAGAAGTGTTTGTCATGAAGTGAAGAATGGTAAGAATCGGCACAAACTAGATAGATAGTTTAGTATATAAGTTTGAAAATGTCCTAATAGGACGAAACTGCAGTAACTTTACTTACAAATAAAAGTGGTAAAAAACAGTTATCTATCATACGATAGATCTGTTAATCGGAACTGTTAATCCTTCAGGTCGAATGAAATGAAGTCGGAAACTTGAGTCTACGGTAGTTGCGTGATCGGTATAGAGGTTCCTGACATCACATGCAGGGCACCTGAACCTCTAATATATTTGCGTTGGCATGTCCAGCAGATTTGGTCTCACTTTATATCCATCTACGTAACGTGGTCATACACTATTACGGGATTGACAAGACATCAGTTTTGCCCTACGTTCTGGGAGATATGCAATTCATTGTAGAGAATGGGAATTGCTGTATTTATTGGTACTATTTATTCGCCACCCTCAGGATCATACAAGCTTATAAGCCTGATGTAATTCTTATTGTCCATTAGAACTGGAAAAAACCGTAGTGGAGTTTTCAGCTCCGGGTGGGATATACCGTTCGAGAAAAGGAGAAAAACCGAATATCGTGATTTTCTCTTCTATCGACTCTTCTATCGAGACCACCCTGTTAAAATGGTCGTTCTGACTATTGGAGTTTTTGGTGGAAAATTGCCGTTTCTACTCTCGATTCTCAATGTCATATCGGCTTGCTGCACTGAGGAAGAAATCTCAGCGAAACAAATGCGAAAGGCGGGCAGTTTTTCTGCTCATTGCGAATATTCAAAGTACATGATTCTCGGGCTCGATTATCACTCACCCTACAGTGTGGTAGTGGTCACTGGTTGATGATGCTAGCGCACCCTCCTAAATGTGTTGAACTCCGGGAACATAGCCAGATCAGCTAAATCTTCAAGAATGGTGATGATGACCATAAGAGCGCAGAAATTGGAGCATTCCTCTTTAGAGCAGCTGCCCGAACAGCTAGTGAAGTCGGTTTAGTTTTTGACACTGAACGAGGTGATCACAACTCTGTTAC